CAAAGAAATATAAGATACCTCTCTGTGGTGATGGCCATGTTCTGTATCATGATTTCCTATCTTTTTTTTTTTTGTTTTTTTAATATTTTTTATTTATTTCTAGGAGAGAGACAGCATGAGCAGGGGAGGGTCAGAGAGAGAGGGAGTCACAGACTGAAACAGGCTCCAGGCTCTGAGCTGGCAGTCAGCACAGAGCCTGATGCGGGGCTCGAACCCACGAACCGCGAGATCATGACCTAAGTGAAAGTCGGACGCTTAACCGACTAAGCCACCCAGGCGCCCCTATGATTTCCTATCTTAATTGTTATGGTATTTACATGACTATATGTGTTTTAAATTCATACAAAAATACTTTAAAACGGTGAATTTTGCTTTATGTAAGTTACACTTCAATAAGTCTACTTTAAAAAACGAATGATAATGCAATGAACCTGCACTCATATATAAAAAAGTTGCCAATATAAAGAAAAGATTTCATTTTTATTTGTCTAAAAGCTAGCTCTACACCCAAAGTGGGCCTTGAACTCATGACCCTGAGATCAAAAGTCACGTGCTCTACCGACTGAGCCAGCTAGGTGCTCCTAAAAATTTTTAATTTTTAAAATATTTTTGAAGACCTGTAAGTTGGAATTGGAAGAATCAAGATGAAATCATGATTTTAAAATATATGTATATTTCCCAGCTCTGATCAACTAAAAGCCTAGTTTACCATACAGAAATGAATAAGCAAATAAACAATATCATCACTGCTTGTATGTGGGTAGTGGGATTATAAGTTTTTCCAAAATTTTTTGTACTTGTAATCCTTCTCCCTCCAAAAAACTAAAACTTGGGGTGCCTGGGTAGCTTAGTCAGTTAAGTGTCTGATTCTTGATCTCAGCTCAGGTGTTGATCTCAGGGTCATGAGTTCAAACCCCATGTTGGGCTTTACACTGGAGTCTACTTAAAAAAATAAAAATACGAAAACTTAATCCAACAGCAATGCTCTATCTTCAAAAAGGAACTCTAACAACAAAAAAAAGGAATCTCATTACCCAAGGAGCTTTTATAGCCAAAGACTCAGTGAATCCAAATAAATTATTAATTATAATTACATTTTGGTGAATCACATGGAAAAGGACACTTACTCTTCCTTAAGTCTCTTTTGAAGTCTGTCTTTTGAAAGTTTACTTTCACTGGCATTTTTCATCATATCTTTCCGAAACCGATTGTTCTTCATGTCAACCCTGTAAAACACAAAAGAGTACACTTTAAATGACATTTTAACTACCTGTTGCCTTTGATAATTTGAAAACACATTTAACTGAATACAGATGAAGATTTGTAAGGTGTGGAATATCACATACACACGTATTTTTTTTAAAAAGATAAACACACGTAACAGAGAATGCTCTGAAAAATACCAATTAATGACAATGTTTTCTCAATATGAATTAAGTACATATTTCCTACCCAATTGCAAAAGATAAGCATCGTTTGTAAGCATGGAGCAAAATGGACACCTTCAATGGGAAGGTTTGTTGGCAGAACCACATGGTCAGTCTGGCAGTATTTATCAAGAGCCTTACTCATGCGTATGCTCTTTAATTCTAGCTCAAAAAATCTTTCTTCGATAATGAGAAAGCAGAAAAAGATTTATGCAGAAAAATATGTCTCAACATGAATTTAAGGGAAAAATAAGTAACCCTATCTATCTAACAATAACGTCTCGATAAATTATAATTCACAAAATGAGTATACGATATCTATTCTAAAATGTTTACAAACGTTTTTACTTGTTAGGTGGGGAGAAATGCTTGCAAGACAATACGTTCTCATTTATTACTTAAGTATGTATTTTGTGTGCTTTTTTCCTAGCCTTTTGTTTCAGGCATTGTGCTAAGAGCTTCATACATACTATTTCATTTATTCTCAAGAGACTTCTGATATTGTTACCATTATTACCTCCATCCAAAAGAGAAAAGGCAGGTTCCAAACTTGCCCGTGTTGTTAGGAACTGGCCAAATAAGAAGGCAAACTCAAACGTGACACTGTGCTTCCTTGGCTATTCCATACGGCGCACACGAGAAGAAAGCTGGAGAGAGGAATGCCAGCATGTTAACTGGTTCTCTCTCGCTTGTGGGATCACAAATGACCTTGTCTTTTCTCTGCTTTACGGTATTTTTCAAATCTTCACATAATCACAAACTTGTAAAGAAAGCTTCTTTTAATCCTGCAAGTTAATTTTAAAAATACACAGGGGGGATTCTGGAAGAAAAATTCAGCAACCTACATTTCATCATCTTCATCTTCTTCATCCACCCAAACTGGCTTCTTTTGAAATAGAAAATTGTCTTTTGCTTCATTCTCCACCTCTGAGTCACCTGAGTCTTCCTGTACTTGAACCTAGAGAAGACAAAATTGCCCTTGAGCTCTGAGTTTTTCAGCAGACACACACATCTTACAGTTAGATGTCCGGTAAGAATGCTTGGTAGGGCCTCTGATGAAATAATGGGACAGAATGCTCCCACAGCACATGCTGGAGACAGAACAGAAAACGCAGAGATTACAGAACGGCACCATAAGCTGGACAGGCAGGTAGGATGAGAGCACAGACATGCTGAAAGGCAAAGACCAAGTAAGACAAGAACAACAAAAGGTAAACTGACAGAGGAGGAAAGGAGCAGGAAAAGTCCGGGAACTACAGAAATCACAGGACCAGAGACAGACTACCATCAAAAATAACGGGATTGAGGGGCGCCTGGGTGGCTCAGTTGGCTTAAGCATCCGACTCTTGATTTCAGTTCAGGTCATGAGCTCACGGTTTGTGGGATTGAGCCTGGCATCCGGCTCCACAGTTTGTGGGATAGAGCCCAGTGTCCAGCTCCAGACTGACCACACTGAGCCTGTTTGGGATTCTCTCTCTCCCTTTCTGCCCCTCCTCTGCTCATACTAGCTCCCTCAAAGTACACAAACATTAAAAAAAACTTAGAAAGAAAGAAAGCTTACACTTGGCTGTCAAATCTAAACCTAGACCACTGAACACTCCCAGAAGTGAGCTTGAGCTTTCCCAAAGACCACATTAGACACGTTCACTTGCTTTCTCTCTGGTCTATTACCAGCCTATGATCCTTCAAAGCCCAACAAATCCCACCTCACGCACAGTGTCCCTTTTCGGGACTATACAACTGTCCCCACCCCCGCCAGCATTTGTCCAGTAACAGTTCTCTATCTCCCAACTAGTTTTCCACAGCCTCTCCCATGAGCACCCAAAGGAGGTTCTGGCAATCAACTGACCCTGGTCACTCGGCAGTGTCATTTCCCAAACTCAGTATTCTCTGTGAGGCTTTGCTTGGCCATCGTATGTAAAATTTCACAGGCCTCTGCACACAAGCATCTTCCTTTCCCTAACACTTTCATTCTTTTTCTCTTCAGCACGTGTCACGGACTTTTTGCATTTTATCTTCTTCTGATACTAGTACACGTGCTCCAAGACAGCAGAGATTTTTGTCGGGTTTTGGCCGTTGCTACGTCTCCTCCACTGCCTAGAACAATCCTTGGAACTCCCTATCTTGAAAGAAAAACCAGTTATAGCATAAAAGGGATGATTCCAAGAGTGCAAAAAAAAAGTGATTGAAATAAAGGGATAAAGAGATGATAAAAAGAATGAAGAGTTTTCACTGCCAGGAAAAGCACGTGGTCCCCAACATCATTCTCAAAACTTGGCTAGTCAATCACTTGGGAAGCTTTTAAAACGCACACTCCCGGGCCCAGGCCCACGAATTCTGATTCCACAACTCCCGCATCACAGCAAGTCACTGGGGCAAGGGATCGAACGACCACGAGGAAAGAAACGCTGATTTGGAGGCGAGGACAGTGGGGCTGAGCTGCGAAAAACGCTCGCGCCGGCAGTTGGCTAAACGTACGTGTAGAGCGCCTGCTGGATACCAGGCGCAGGGGGCCGTCCCGGGGGCGGAGAAAGACTTTGTCCCCGCCCAGCTGAGACTTCCAGTCTGGCACCGGTCGGCGCCCGCCTTCTCCGGCGCCCGCCGACCTGAGCGCTCCCGGCGCCGCAGGTCGCCCAGGCTCCGCCCCCGGAGGCTCACCGCCCACCGCGCGCCCCGCCCGAGCGCGCCCAGCCCGCGCGCCGCGGCCTCCCTCACCCGCGGGCCCCGCAGACGCCGCAGCAGCGCGTCTTCGTCGTCCTCGACGTCGCCGAACACCAGCTCCTCCAGGCACCGCTCCACGGCCGGCTTGTCCTCCTCCAGCGTCAGGCGGTTCCGCTGCCGGAGCCGTCTCTCCTCCTCCGCCGCGACTGCGATCGCAGCGGCCGCTGTGCTCGGCCGGGCCGGCGGTTTCCGCTGGGATGAAGGAGCAGCCTTTCGGGGCGGCCCGCCCGGCCCTGCTCCGGCTCTCCGGTCCGGCTTCATTCGGCTCTTCCGGTCCGGCCTCACTCCGGTTCTCCGGTCCGGTCTCGTTCGGTTTCTGCGTTCCGGCGGCATCGTTGGGTTTGAGAAGAAACGCAGGCGCTCACGTGGAACCTCGCTGCGCGTGCGCCGAGACGGTTCCCTCTCCGCGGCCGCTGAGGCCCCGCGGGGTCGGAAGGAGCCTGCGCGGCCTGTTAGCACGTGACCGACACTCTCTCCCTACGTAACGCCCACTCCCCTCCCCGACCCCTCCCCGTAGGGGAGTTCCTCCGGGAGGACCAATCTTCCGGGTGGAGGGGGAAGCGGCGTGACTGGAGTGGAAAATTCTTTCCAACACAACTTCGCAGCTGCAACTGATTGAAGGGAGCACAAGAAAGCCAGAGTATAGAGTGGGATGACTGAATGAAACTTCTACTTTTCTTCCTGACTTGGTAACCACTCGACTTCCCACGAGCCGCGGTGGCCTTTCCCACCCCTTCGTCTTGGTACGGCCCTTGGAGTACGGAGCCTGCAGAGGGTCCCACGCTGGAGGAGAGAGAGAGGAGGGTATGTAGGGAAGTGGGCCAATCGGGGCGCGGGTCACGGCGCAGGCGCGCTGGGGAGGGAGGGCTATGCTAATGTTGTTGATATCCTGGGGCCACCCGAGTTAAAGGGGGGAAATCCGGGGGCTGCCGCAGCCGCCACCGGTCTGGGCCCAGCGGGGGCTCCCCTGTAGTCGCCGTAGTCCTGGGGAGAGGCGCCTGCCCCCTGCTCGGGGAGGGGGCGCCGCGGGCCCGGGGAGCACGGACAGCCCCTACCCATGAGGCCCTGATGGAAAACACAAAGGATCTGGTGAGAGCCGAGCGCGGCAGCCGCTTTGTGTGCCAGGTGGGGGGGACGCCTGCAGCTCCCCGACCCCGGGAACCCCTGCAGCTCCCTGACCCCGCTCCCAGGCCTGCTTCTCCATCCCACGCCCCCTCAACCTCCGGAGTCCCCCTCCCCCTGCCGGCCGTTAAACGATTCGGGGTTCCCCTCCCCCCACCCCTCAGCCCCGGACTCGGCGGGGTTCTCTCTACTCCCTTCACTCTTGGGAGGAAAAATTTTAGAAGAAAGTTTTTCTCTGCGTCCCGCCCCCCCTCCCCCTTCAGCCCTGCCTGGTGGGGGGAGGGAAACTGGGTTTGAGACTTTCCCTTTTTTAGCCGTCCAGGGTGGGAGAGTGGAGTCCTCACTTGGCCCCGGGGCGGGGGGTTGGGGGGGGTGAGGGCGCTAGATTGGGGTGCTTTGCGGGGGAAGGTGCCTGTCCCCTCCGGGGCGAGTGCCGCGAGGCATTTCGCACGTGGAGGTGGAAATAGTGAAAGGGGGCGGGGTGGGCACGTGTGGGAGGGAGAGGTGGGAGTGGTGTTTTGGGAAAGCAGCCGCCTGGGCCGCTGGTGTAAAAGGGTCCTAGGTCGATGGGCTTCGGGGACCGTTGCGTTCTCTTTTGTGAAATAAGAATCCTAACGTTTCAGAGTCGGAAGAGACATTAGAGGTCACCCCAAGCAGCCGTCCCCTGTGCAGCCTCTGTGACAAGTGGTAGGTAGCCTGGCCTCTGCCTAAACCCTTCCCAGCACTGACCGCTTCCTGCCGCCCCGGAAAGCCCTTCCGGCTTTCCAGTCGTTCGTACCGTCGTGCGCCTGCCCCTGTTAGACCCTCCAGCCTCGTTCCTGTCCTTGTTCATTCGCTCCCTTTTGTACTTCTCAAATTTTGTCTCACATCCTCCTCACCCACCCACCGCTCATTGGCCTATATTTTGTGCGCCAGGAAGGAACAGCAGGGAAGTGGAGGGAGGAGGGTTTGGGAGATAGCGAGGGCCAGCTGAAAACTTCACTGGGTCATTTTTCAGATGCGCTGGCTTGCGTGGCTGAGGATGGTTGATCTTTTTCTACGGGAAGCCTGGGAATTACAGTCTGGGATTTCATGGCTCTTTTCTCTCTCTCTCACCAATGCATCTTTTTTCTTTTCTTTTCTTTTCTTTTCTTTTTTTGTATTTAGAATTTTCAGCTCCATTCTCTGTATTTCTGCTCTTTCAAAGCCCATTTGCTTGTTGCCTAAATCACCCTCCCTAAGGATTCCTCAGATTGCCTTTGGGGATAGTAGTGATGTTGTTAGAAGCATCTGGTACAGACGTGGTCAGAACCACTTCTCCCCTCCTCCCTTTGACCTATGTCTTCCCTTCCAACGGGGCTTCCTTTCTCTGGGCCCCTCCTTCGCAATGCTCTCATTTCTTTCTTTATCATAATTTCTTGTGCAGTTTTTTAATGAGAGTTGAAATTTTTGGAGCAATTTCATATTTGTTTACAGTTTGCAGTAGCTTTTATATTTCTTACATTCGCACATGCCGTTTATCACTCAGGAGTTGGAGATAGTTCAGTTTCTGCTGTTGTCCGTTAACGGTTTTCTAATGCTGCCCTTCCTTTGGTGAGCTGTGCTGCCCCCAGAAGTAGTGTTGCTCGCATTAGAATCTTCAGGGCACTTAAAAAAAAAAAAAAAAAAAAAAAGAATCTTCAGGGCACTTGTTTTTCCTCTTACTCATACAGTGGAGTGGAGTCAAGACAACATAAAATGTAGAAAAGGAAGGAGTCTGGTCTAAAAACCAGAACTTAAATTTCCTTTTAAACTCCCAGGCTCCTGTTTGAAATGTTGAAACCAACATTTCTCTCTCCCCCTCTCCTGACTTAGAGACTCTTGCTTTGCTCCACCATGCTTACTTAGACTGCTTGTTGTTTTTTATTTATTTACCTCAGCACCAGTGAGTGTTTAGAAAGAAAATAGCTGTCTTTTTTTTTTTTTTCTCCCTACCATCTCCTCTGAATAACAAGTAACTTCTATTTATATAGAACCCATCTCAGGGCTTCTGGGTGCCTTGCAAATTATGGCAAAACTGTCTTGAATAAGTATTTGTTCATAAGTATCTTACATCGGGCCATGTTTTTTTTTAACAATCCAATTTTTAATCTTGGTTTTTAGTTTAATCCAAGTAGTGTTTGACATCTATTTCATCCAACTGTAGTCCCTAGAATTTAACATGGAAATGAATACTAGGTGCTGAAAAAAAGCTGACAGAGCTGTGTAATTCTGTCTTTAAAGTTTTAATTACTATGGAGTCCCAAGTTACTTCCCTGCTTGCTTTAAACATGAACTGTCATGACTTAAATTGACTGACTTCGGACACATTTGCATTCTGAACATACTAGACAGGAACAACTGGTTTTATTTTTAAAGAAGACACTGTTGTATTTTTTTAATGGGTGGTTACATGTTGTTAGTGTCTAAGTCTTCCTGCATTTCAGATCCTTCTAGTCCCTCCAGTTGACTGAAAATATAACATAGTAGTTAAAAGAAGGTAGAGCTGCATGTTACAAGTGAAAACAACATATTAATGTCATAAATAGGAAACCACTAGATTACTGAAAGCCAACAGTGCTCAGTGGTTTGAGTGACCACATTCTAAAATTAGACAAGTACTATTTTTTGGTTGCTCCTTATTTCTCAATTTTCACCTTTAAAACGGTTTGCTGAATAAGATGTAACCTTTTCACATTTATAATTTTAAGGTGAGCCAGTTAAAAGGTAACATTAGTTTCAGAGTTTCAAGTCCCAGGGAAAGATAAAAACATCAAGTCAATAGAAGAGGAAGGAGTTAAAATGGTTAAAGGAAGCTGAGCTATGCCTCCTAACACCAGAGTATTCTTAGCTGTCAGACACTACCTTTAGTTTTATATAAAAAAAATTGCAGATTGGTTTAGATTTAATCCTGATTTTTTAATGACTCCCCCCCCCCCCCCAGTACACATACAAATTTAGACTTTTTCTCTTTTCTTTGCTGGAACCAAGAAGAAAGGGTGGAAAGAAGGAACCGAGAAGCAAGGGTGGGAAAAAATAATAATTCCCATTTGAATAAAGGCTGATTTGAGGCGGGATGAAGTGACACAGTAAGAGGCCTCGCAGGCTAGGTTAGTGTTTCAGTTCTGCTACTGACCAGCCTCATAGCTCTTGTCAGACAAGATCCTGTGTCCCTGTTTGCTCATGCTCACAGTTGAAGGGCTGGTCTCCAATCAGCACTGTCCAGTAGAACTCTGTGCGGTGATAGGAATGTCTTCTACGTGTGCCGTGCAGTATGGCAGCCATTGGCCACATGTGACTGTCGAGCGCTTAAATGGTAACTAGTCCAACAGAAGGACCCGGTGTTTTACCTGGATTTAAGTAGTGTGAATAGCCCCAAGTCTGCCGTGTTGGACATGCGTATATAGAAGAGTGCTTTCCAGGCTTAGCTAGTCATTAAAACCACTTCTTGTGGCTCTTGCAGCCATACAAAACCTTTCTTCTGGTGGTTAGCATTCAGTAGGTCTGCAGTGGCTCCTAGGACACTGTTTTTAATGCATGCCCCAGAAACTTTTTATCAGATTGATTAGGGAATATTTGGATATTGCCGAGCTCCCTTCTAGCTCTCACTGCAGTATTGATAACTTAGAGCGTGGTGTCGTACAGATGAGCCTCTAGACAAAGTTGGCAAACTGGCCAGGCTCTCATAGTGCCGCTTTTGGCCTGTGATCTTAAATTGCTTAACCTCTTCAGTCTTCATCTTTCTCACCTGAATGTGGGCCGAGCTTCAGCGCTACTTCAATCCCAATGTCTCTGTAAACCAGTCAGTGTATAAGAAACTCTAAGGTGTTTTGAATGATAAAGTATTAAGATATCCTCCCAAAATCCCTTTTATTTTTTTTTTCACTCTTACCTATTATTACTGTTATTCTCATGGAACAGATTGTATGCAGTATACTTAACTCAGTAATTTCTTGCTCTCTCAGCTATTTCTTGTTCTCCATAGTTGGCAGTCTGTGTAGGATATGCATAGTAAATCTAAAACTTTTTGTATTTCTGTTGCATAGCATAATGATTTATCTACATTGCTCAATAAATACTGGATGACATATCCTCTTACTGCTTTACTTTTGGACCTCAAACCTTCAGTTAGCTAGTTGCAGATTATTTTTTACACCAAAGAAATAACCCCTAATGTACACAAATGTTTTTAACCCTATTTTAGTTGTATCATTATTAATATCTAATTGTTATTAGTGTTCTGTGATAATATATCTTTTGTACAACCTGCTTTAGATACATTTTCAAAAGATAAACACCAAGAAAATATCCTTTTACATCATTGTTTTTGTGTTTGTTTGGTTTTTTTAAGTTTTTTTAATGTCTATTTTTGGGAGAAAGAGACCAAGCACTAGGAGGGGAGGGGCAGAGAGAGAGAGGGGGAGAGAGGCACAGAATCTGAAGCAGGCTCCGGGCTGTCAGTATAGAGCCCAACACGGGGCTCAAACCCACGAACCGAGATCATGACCCGAGCTGAAGTCTGACGCTCAACCGACTGAGCCACCCAGGCGCCCCTACATCAGTGTTTTTGGGTTGTATCAAATCAACATCATGCTGAATAATCTGTTTAACTTACTTTTTGCTGTATTTACATATTAATGATCTCATTTGATTACTCAAACAGCATTTTTACTACAGTCCCAGCTTGAGTATGGATTTTGTTATTTGTGGTAGAATAGATAGCTGGTAATGAATGATATCAAAGACCCACTTGGCTACTGTGTTTCATACTTAATTTTGACATGGTCATCTTATTTTTAATTAGCTTTTCAGGTTCATACTTAAGGATTCCTAGCTTTCTTCTGAAGAACTGAAAGCCCATTCATGTGAATTATTTTATTAAATCATACATTCTTCCTGTGTGGTAAGTGATGTTTTCCTTATTTAGAAGAGAGAGAAACTGAGACCAAAGTAGTTGTTACATCCAAAGTCTTAAGTGATAGAACCAAAACTTGAACCTAAAAATATAGACATTTGTATTTCTTACTTATCCAAAAAAAAAAAAAAAAAGCTTCCTTTTCACTGTTGGATGTAGAATATTATCCTCTCCTGTTATTCACAGGGTACTTTTCAGTTAAGAAGGTTATTTAGTATGTTATTGGTTTCGGTGTCCTCTTGATTGTATCATTGACATGAATTTATTGTTTCACATTGAACTTGTGGAAAACAGAAACCCAGTAATCCCAAATCCTCACCATTTCTCTTCCTCCTCATAGTAAGCTGAGAAAGAATAAATGCATTTGTTTAGGCCAGTGAATTGTATCACTATGCCAGACCAGCCTTTCATCATGATGGCAGAATGAGGAAAACCAGCAAGAGCTAAATAGCTCTCGAGCGCCTACTGGGTCCAGTTACCATAGATCTCTTAACTCTTTTAGTTTTAACTTTGTGAGTTCACACATACAACTTTCAAATGCAAGGTTTTAGGAAGTTTACACTTAATGACTAAATATAAAACCCAGAAAATTAGGTGGGCTACTGTACCCTATTTGTTTGGATAATGGAGTGTTGATTAACTTACAATGGGTTTATTCATATTGAAATTATGTTGTTACTTAGCTGTATATTTATCTCTGCTTGCATTTAGAATCTCAAATATTTTCTGTAAAATTTTTCCTAGAAAAGTTTTATAATTCTTTTGTAGATTTTTATAGGGAGGAAGGTTTATCAGGGTAACAGTTACAGTACGGAAATGAAATTCTGCTGTGACTTGTCACTCTTCCTTACATTTTGTCACTACAGAAACTTCTTTTTTTATTTTTTCACTACAAAAGTACTACACATCTGTTGTTTAAACAAGGAAAATGGGGACACCTGGGTGGCTCAGTTGGTTGTACCTCTGACTCTTGATTTCGGCTCAGGCCATGATCTCATGGTTGTGGGATTGAGCCCCATGTTGGGCTCCATGCTGAACATGGAGCCTGCTTAAGATTCTCTCTCTCCCTCTGTCCCCTCCCCTCCCTTTAAAAAAAAAAAGAGGAGGAAAAGGAAGATAAAAACCATAGAAAAGTTAATCATCCTCCCTTTCCTCGCTATGTTAATAGTGTAGCTGTTCTTCCAGGGTCTTCCTAAGCACATATATGAACAGACATAGAGCTATCAGTCTGTGTATATACCAGCATACATTGTTTCTTTTAATAAAAATTGAGTCATGCCACTCCTATGTGCAATTTGCTTTTTTCCCCTCAGTATTTTACCTATTAGTACTTATTTCCCTACTGGCGGTTAGATTGCCTCCAGTTTCTCACTATTACATTAGTGCTGCAAGAAACCTCTTTCCACACAGTCTTGTGTCCTTTGAGTATTTCTGAAGGACAGATTCCAAAAAGTAGAATTACATGGTCAAAAGGAATACTGGTGGGTTTTTTTTTTTTAAGACTTAACAAATAATGTCAATATGGCATAAATTTTCCTTCCTATCAAGGGTATATCAGGGCTGTTTCATACATGCATTTGCCAGTGCCAAATATCATCAGTCGCTCCATTTAATCAGCTTAATGAATTTTAAGAAGGTAATTTGCACTTTATAAAAATTGACTTTTACTTTTATAAGAGTAACATGCACTTAATGTGACACCATGGTAAAAATGCCCCCAAAACAGGGTCCTTTACAGCAGTGTCTTTCTCTTCCCAATATAGCTCTCCTTTCACAAGTACTTTTAATTCTTTTACCTTTTTCACCTAGAATCTATTTCCATGATTCTGATTAGGCTTATGTCACTCAGCATATGAATCTTAGATATCTTGATTTCCTCTGTGCTGAGCGAGGAGTTATCCTATATGCCCAAATACCAAATGAGGTTCCCCTACCTGCAGTTGCCCATCACCTTATACTCAAGGTCTTAGACACCAAATGTGATTTTCAGTTTTGTTTTGAAGAGCAGAGTGTTAAAAAAGGCACACTACTGGAAATAGTTTTATTAGATCCTTGTTATCTGTGTTCATGGAAGTTAGCTAACAACAGTAATTAAAGGGAAGAAAGAGAAAGCGGGTTAAAATTTAACAATAGGTTTAAGATTATTTTCTTGACTCATGTTGCTAGTGTTCTCTCAGCTGTATGACCTTGGGCAAACTGCTTAGCCTGTTAGAGCCTCTGCTTCCTCATCTGTAAAATGGGAGTAATAACAGTTATGAGGATTAAATGCATTACTATGCATCAAGTGCCTAGAATGTGCCTACCACGTGCTGAGCATCCTGTGTGTATTAGTTGTCTTCATCATAATAGACCTTTTTACAGATCACTAGTAAGAACAGTCCAATAAAGGATTATTGTGGGATTCACAAATAAACTCTCAGAGAGCGAAATGTACTTCTGAACGAAATTAGATAAACATGGAGACTTACTCTGGAAAACTGTTAGGTGATACAAAAAGTGCATCTGACAATGACAAGTGTTTCAAAAACATGACAAAACCAGTATATCTAAGAAAGTAGTAAATATGCATGTGTAGACTTCAGTTTTAGAGAAGAGTGGCAGTGGCCTGATCCAGTTTCCCACCCACCTTTCTCTAAGCCTTTTATAAAGCCAACAAAGAGCACATGTCTGTCACACATCACCCATGCCTCCAGCGTAATTTAAAAATTACCACAGTCTTCAAATTACCTCTAAGGGAAATAATCAGATTCCAGGAGCCCCTTCTGCTCAGTCCTGCGGATGTGAAGAATGAGAGAGAGAAGGCTTAATGGCTTTAATGGGTCCAGTGGTAGAGTTTAAGGCCATGGAAGACTTAGGTGAAGCACAGAGTAGCACTTCTAAAAGAGAAGAATCCAACTAAGTTCCAAAATACTGAACACAGGTTTGAAATTTGGTAGTTCACAGCTTTAGCCCCAGGGAAGAGTTTGAAAGTAACCAGCGCTTCATAGGGAAGAAGTGGGGACATGGCAGTGAAGAGAAAGGAGAAAGAGGAGAAATTAATACTCAGAAAAAGAAAGAGAAAGTAAACTTAGGAGTGTACTGGAACGAGGAACCCTTGACCATGAAATAAATAGAAATAGGAAGGAGTGGACTACATGCAGACAGAACTACTATTGGAAAAAATAATGTGAATCGGAACATCTCAACTCATGAAAATCTTCTCTCTCCAACCCAGAAAAACACAGAAAATAATTGACACAGCCCTCAAAATGAAATAAAACCTCCTCAAACCAATGTTTAGATGTACAAGAAAAAGAAAGCCTTGGTTCAGAAATCTAAAACTAAAAAAAACCAGGAAGAACTAAAATCAGAGTAGATTAAACTTAGAGAAAAGAAGAAAAAATCCTATCAGATGGAAGACTGTCATAAAATTCCCACCAAACAGTAGATTCAAATGCAAATATAATAAAAGACATTGAAGAAAAGCAGGGAAATGGTCAAGAGAATGAAAATGAGATTCTTTTCTGATACGTTAAATGGGAGATGGGTCCAAAAAGTAATGTGTATTTAGCGTTCCTCAATAAGGAAAAGGAATAGGGGCACCTGACTGGCTCAGTTGGTAGAACGCGTGACTCTTGATTTCGGAGCTGTGAGTTCAAGTCCCACGTTGGGTGTAGAGATTACTTTAAAAAAATAAAAATCTTTTGTGGCACCTGGGTGGCTCAGTTAAGTGCCCAGCTTCGGTTCAGGTCATGATCTTATCACCATTCATGAGTTGGAACCCATGTCATTGGAACTTCCCTGCTCCCTGCCCCCTGCCCCCAGCTCTCTCTCCCTCAAAAATAAATATTTTTTAAGAAAAGAAAAATCTTTTAGGGGCACCTGGGTGGCTCAGTTGGTTAAGCGTCCAACTTCAGCTCAGGTCATGATCTCAACAGTTCATGAGTTCGAGCCCTCTATCAGGCTCTGTACTGACAGCTCAGAACCAGGAGCCTGCTACTTATTCTGTGTTTCCCTCTCTGCTCCTCCCCCACTTGGACATGTTTGTGTGTGTGCATGCACATCTGTGCACACGCTCTCTCAAAAATAAACATCGGGGGGAATTTTTTCTTAAAAAAAGAAAACTCTTTTAAAAGAAGAAAAAGTAAAACCATAATCAAGAAAACTTTTTGGATATAGAGATCTAAATGTGTACATAAGAAGTTCATACCAGAAGGTAAATTGAGGATATATTCTAGTAAAGCTGTATGACTTTATAGATACAGAAAATTCTCCAAGCTTCCAGGCAAAAGATGAAGTGCCTCATAAGGCCTAGAGTGTTAGACTGGTGTCAGGTTTCTCAAAAGTAACATACAAAGCAAGACCACAGTGGAGGAGCATAAGAAAAGAAAAATGCTAACCAAAGATTTTATATCCAGTCAACTGTCTTTTGAATGTCAAGACTGTAGAAAACGTTTTAAACATGGCCAAGAATTCAGGGAACACTGGTCTCACTAGCCCTTCCCAACGAAACTCTTAAAGGATGAGCTTCATCTAAAAGAGATATTTTGGAGATTTTCTGCAAAAAGTTTGACAGTATTTCACATGTCTTTTTAAACTGAAGTTAAAATCAGGAGTAGGAGTGTAGGTAGAAGAATGGTACATAAATGTTAAGGGATCTGACAAAGTAGAAAAAGCAGCTAAAAATTATGGGAGGGAAAAGGAGACAAAAAACTAGAATAACACTATTGACTGTAGGTTAACTATTACAAGGGATTCAAATGATACCATTTGAACTGAAATGATTAAGAGAAAAGATACATGGAATTATAAAAGTTAGTTAAATATTAACTATTAAGTTAAATATGATTTAATTACATCAGATTAAATAATACCTGAGCCTGGGTGGCTCAGTCCGTTAAGCATCCAGCTTCAGTTCAGGTCATGATCTCCTGGTTGGTGAGTTCGAGCCCCATACCAGGCTCTGTGCTGATAGCTTACAGCCTGGAGCCTGCTTCAGATTCTCGGTC